TAATTTCCTAATCTTATTCCTTTTATTTCTTTCTCTTGTCTAATTGCTCTGGCTAATGTTTCCAGAACTATGTTGAATAAGAGTGATGACAATGGACATCATCTTATTCCTGACTTTAGAGTGGAAGCCTTCAGTTTTTGTCCATTTAGTGTGATGTTGGCTGTTGGTTTGTCATAGATGGCTTTTATCAGACTGAGATAAAGACCATCTATTCCAATTTTGTTTTTATCATGAATGGGCGTTGGACTTTCTCAACCACTTTTTCTGCATCTATTGATATGATCATATGTTTTTGTCCTTGGCTCTGTTAATATGATGTATTACATTTATTGATTTGCTTATGTTGAACCATCCCTCCATTCCTGGGATGAATCCTACTTAGACATGGTATATAGTCTTGATGATTTGCTGCATTCTGTTTGCTGGTATCTTATTGAAGATTTTTGCATCTATGTTCATTAGGGAGATTGGCCTGTAATTCTCCTTTTTTGGTTGGATCCTTCTCTGGTTTTTGTATCAGGGTAATATTCCAGGAATGAATTTGGGAGAATTGCTTTCCTTTCAATTTCATTAAAGAGTTTGAGAAGTAGCAGAATTAGGTCTTCTTTAAATTTCTTGTAGAATTTAGCAGTAAATCCATCAGGGCCGGGGATTTTTCTTTGTTGGTAGGTTTTTAATTACATCTTCAATTTCACTAACTGATATTGGTTTATTTAGAATTTTTATATATTCTTGGTTCAGCTTTGGTAATTCATATGTATCTAGGAATCTTTCCATTTCTTCTGTGTTTTCCATCTTATTGGAATACAGATTCTTGAAGTAGGTATTGATAATCCTCTGGATTTCTGCAGAATCTGTTGTGATTATACCCTTTCCATTCCTAATTGTATGGATTTGAGTCTTTCCTTTTTGTGATAAGGTTGGATAAGGGTTTGTCAATTTTATTTAATCTTTCCAAGGACCAACTATTCAATTAATTGTTTCTTTATATTGTTTTCTTTTTTTTTTTTGGTACCGGGGATCAAACTTGGGACCTTGCACTTGCGCGGCAGGCGCCAGAACCACTGAGCTAAATCCCCAGCCCCCTTATATTGTTTTCTTAGTCTCTGTTGAATTAATTACTATTCTTATCTTTATAATTTCCTCCCTCATACAAGTTTTGGTCTTGACTTGCTCTTTTTTTCCTAGAAGCTTGAGGTTCAACATTAGGTTTTTATTTGAGCTTACTCTTTTTCTGATATAATAATTCACCACTATAAATTTCCCTCATAGGACAGCTTTCATTGTGTTCCATAAGTTTGTGTATGTTGTATTGAGATTATCATTTAATTGTAGAAGCTGTCTGATTTCTTCTTTAATTTCATCTGTGACCCATTAGATGTTCAGGAAAGTGGAGGGTTTTTTGGTACCAGTGATTGAACATGGTACCTTGTGCTTGCAAGGCAGGTGGTGGCACCACTGAGCTAAATCCCCAGGCCAGGAGGGTATTATTTAATTTCCACGGGTTTATGAAGTTCTTGTGGTTTCTTTTGCCATTGAGTTCCAATTTTATTGTGCTGTGGTCGGATAATATGCATGGGATAATTTCAGTTCCTTTGCATTTACTTAAGTATATTCTTTGAGCTAGTATGTGGTCTATTTTGGAGAACATCCCATGTGCAGCTGAGAAGAATGTGTATTCTGATGTTATTGGGTGGAACACTCTATAGATATTTACTAAGTCCATTTATTCAAATTTTGGTTCAGTTCTGATATTTCTTTGTTGATTTTTTTGTCTAGTTCATCTATTTGTGACCATAGGGTATTGAGATTCCCCCATTACAATTGTAGTAGTGTTTATTTGATTTTTCATGTCTGTTAATATTTGTTTTATATACTTGGGTGTGCTAGTGTTTGGTGCATATACATTTATGATTGTTATCTCTCCCTCTTGGATTGTTCCCTTTACAAGGAGGTAGTGATCTTCTTTGTCTCTCTTCATCAGTCTTGGCTTAAAATCCACTTTGTCAGCAAATAGAATAGCTACCCCTGCTTTTTTTGGGATTCCTGTTACATGGAGTATTGTTTTCCATCCTTTGACTTTGAGTCTATGAATTTCTTTTTGAATCAAATGTGGTTTTTTTAATGTGTTTCTTGTATGTAGCATATTTTTGGATCTTGCTTCTGATCCAGTCTGCCAGTCAGTTTGAAAATGACATTTTGTGGTAGTTATTAATCTATCACCTTTAGCTGTGTGAATTAAATCAAGATCGAGGACCAACCCAACATATATATAGTGAATAAAATCTTCAATATAACAACTTTACCCTTTGGGATGGGGAATTAGAAGGGGTTGGGGAGGGAGGGACAGATGGGAAGAAGGATAAGGGAAGGTTAGCAGTGTGGCCAGAGGACACAGGTGAGAAGGAAAAAGAGAATACCAGGAAAATAAAGAAGAACTTCAAATGAGGACCAAAACAGGGACAA